TGCTCCCCCAAGTCCACTGCTCTGCTTTACTGGGAGAGCTTCTCCCCTCTGGGAGCAGAGGCTCCTGTCAAGCCTGGAGCCAAGGTGACTTCATATTCAGTTCGTGTTTTTCTGTGTCGATTTTGGCTTTTGCCCAAACTGACAGCATTTGCAAGCTGGCTGCGAAAAACATTTCAGTTGCTTTTGGGTTGTCACAGAACTGGTTCATCTTATTTGAAACAGGAATTTCAAGTCAGCGGGGAGCTGCTTTCAAGGGGAATTGATGCTGATTGATCTCAAGGAAATATTTTCTTCTGGACAAGGCCCTTTCCCATTGACTGAGGAGGAAGTGCTCATGAGACAGTCACGAGATGGAATGCTTTGCTCGAGAGAATCTTTTCCATTTTTTGCAGACAGTGGGCTGCAAACACTCACAGTCTAAGCAGAGTCCTTGTAGTGTCTGTATAATTCTCCTTGCTCAGGTGAAAGGAGCAGGCCAGCTTGTGCTTTTGATTAAGATTAATTTAGGAACATGTGTGGTGTCTCAGGGTGTTTAGCAGGATTTTGACAGGAGTTAAAACTGAGAAACAGGAGCTCCAGCCTTAGGCTGTCTCACACACCCAGTGACCCTCAAACCTTATCTAAGGCAGTTTTGATTGTCACCGTTTAAGACGTTACATTGCAACAGTTCAAACTGTTTGTTTAAGTGTAAATTCTGTGTTGTTGACAGTCTAGACAGCGCACAGAAAGCGTGCCAGGCCTGGCCAGGCTGAAATGTCCAAGCCAGATGATTCCCTGTGGCCTGGTGCGGGTGGAATTTGTGATCTTTCTTAGTGCCACGAGTGCCTGTTTGTTTCCTCTGCCCTGTGGCGTGACCAAGAATGGTTGCAGGTGTCTCTCCTGTTGTGCAAACGGCTCCACTTGCTCATTTTTCCCTCCCAGGGGTCTGTGATTAACAGTCACTCTCTTGGTCACTGCTCCTTGTGACCCTGATAAAGCTTTGACTCAGTGTTGTCTGTGGATCAGGTGGTGCTGGGCTTTAGCTGGGACACTTGTGTGTCCTTAGAGCAACACAGGAGGATGGTTTTCAGAGCTTTTCTGACAAAGTAATGAATTCTGGGCACGCAGTGCCTCAGAAAGTTGTATGTAATGGCAGTACTTGCTGTTGTTTAAGACATGAGCCTTCTGGTGAGCTGGCCGTGGCCTTCTATCAGGTGTCAATCTTTAAGCCAGGATAACCCTAGAGTAGGAGGAGTTTGGCTGAGGTGAAATTCAGCCTTTTATGGTACAGTGCATTGACCTCTTCTTGGGAGTCAGGAAAGGTATTGTCAGGTTTCCTGTCCCAGTGTGCCAGAACCCACCGAGCTGCTGGTCAGCTTTAGAGAGCAAGATCTGCTCGCTTTGCAAAGTCCAGGCTTTCACCTGGGCTGTTTCAGTGGCATGGAGCAGGACCCTTCTGTGGCTTAAAAAAAAAAAAAAGTTTGAAGTTGAGTATTGATATTAAGATCCTCTCCTCATTTATTTGGCATAAATTGCAGTGGCACCCATGATTACTTCTTCAGCACAAATTGCGGATGTTGCTCTGCCTGTTTTTTTAAAGATCTTGCAACTGGATATTTTTCTTAGCTTAAAATGTCACCTCTATGTTGTATGGGTGTTTCTGGGGGCATTTAAATTATCCCTGGATATATGCTGGTATCAATACATTTCTGTGACAGGCAAGAAAACAGCAATATTGTGTGTCTAAACGTAAATTACCTCAAGTGCATTGCAAATAGTGGCAAAAGATGCTGGCAACACCATTCAGTACCTGATTCTTCTTGTGGAGTTCCTAATAAACACAGAAGTGGTACAGAACTGGGCCTAAAATCTGCAAACATGATAATGAAACTTGGGAAACTTTATGTAGGATATTTCTGACGGTCTGAGGAAGTGCCTGACTTGTGACTTGCTTTCTTTCAGCTTATAAAACTGTATCGGGTGTGAACGGTCCCCTGGTTATCTTGGATCAAGTTAAGGTAAAGATTCAGGTTCTTAATGAATGAAGCTTTTTGAGGAAGAGTTGACAAGAAAAAGATTAAATCCAGACTGTTGTGGAATTCGTGAGGCCACTGAGCAGTTTTAGTACAAGACATGTTTCTGGCTGCTGGGATGAATGAGAGCAAGCAAATTGCCATGAAGTGGAGGAGAGTTGTCCATGTCCTGGAAGAAAGGGAGAGTAGTTGGGGTAAAGAGATGAAACATTGTTTCAGTTTTAACAAAATCCCCCAAATGTTGTCTAAACTTTTGAAGGTGGAAATACACATACTCTGCTCCTGACCTTTTTGTTACCAGAGCATCAGCGCTCTCTAAAAGGGAACTAAACCAGTTTTGTCTTGTTTTCACCTTACTGGCAGGTGACTGTTGAAGGCAAATGCCAGTGTTTTGTTCCTGTTGTGACACCCTGCATGGTGGCTTCCCATCAGTCTGTCAGGACTACTAGGGTTCTTAGAACCTTCTGCAGCCTGCAACTCTGAGCAGATGTTGTAAAGTCCCTGTAAAGATGGCTTTAGCCCGATAAATTTTAATTGCCTTGGAATGAGTTTTTTTTTCTAATTTTAAAAATGATTGAGTAGTTGCCAAGCTTAAGCTTGCTTGAAGCTGATAGTGTTAGTGTCATGACGGTTCCTCTGGATTTTAATGCTTTCCACCATCTTTCTTGCTCGCCTTTAGTTTCCTAGGTACGCAGAGATTGTCCACCTGACCCTTCCTGATGGCACAAGAAGAAGTGGGCAGGTGCTGGAAGTCAGTGGCTCCAAAGCTGTGGTTCAGGTATGATTAGGGACAGGAATGTCTCTTGTTGCAACGGAAAAGTATTTTATTAATCAGCACGCCTGAGCCTTGTCAAATCTGTCTTGTGACATGTTCTTTTGGTGCCATAAATAAATAAATTACCTCCTTATTCCAAGTGCAAGTGGCATGAATAATTTTACAAGATTGAAAACTGGAGGACAGAAGGACGTTTTTTATTTACACCCCCCCTAGATTTCTTTTCTGCTGGATTAAAGGAATTGTTCTGTAATTGTACGGTGTTAGATTCAAGATCCACTCCTATGTTGTGTGGGTGCAGGTATTTCTAAGCAGCTGTTTCTTGTTAATATTCTTCTTCTTATCTGAAGAACTTTACCCTGTTGGCAAAGGGCTGTACTTGAGATCAAAGGAATGGCACCGGGTTTGTTGGTTGCTGCTGATACACTTCATGAGCTGGGTTTAAAGTAGGTTTTTATGTGATGTTTTGTACTAGCAAGCTGCTCTTGAAATCATTTCTTGCAGAGGACTGCCTTGCTTTTATGCCCTGTGGCTGATGGAGTTCTCAAGCTGTGAAGCAGCATTCTAGTGTGTTATTTTGTGAAGCACAATACTTACTCCTTTCTCCTGTGGTGGTGGTTTTTTTTGTTCTGCTATATTTACAGGTGTTTGAAGGAACTTCGGGTATTGATGCTAAGAAAACCTCTTGTGAGTTTACGGGGGATATTCTCCGAACCCCTGTCTCTGAGGATATGCTTGGTAAGGACTTGCATCTTGCTTTGAAGGATGAACAGACTTATCACACACTAACTTATTCTTACAACAACTTACTCTTTTATTTTATTGCTGTTCCTTGTAGGCAGAGTATTTAATGGATCAGGAAAACCTATAGACAGAGGCCCCATTGTTTTGGCTGAAGATTTCCTTGACATTTCTGGTATGGAGCTAAAGACAAATCTGGTGTTGATTTCTGAATTTTGGAATAGTTTTGGTTTTGAACATAGAATCTAACTGTTAGGGGGGTTTAATGTTATTTTTAAGTATGTCTGTGACAACAAACTGAAATTAAATTTACACAAGTGCAGGATGATGAGGTAGCAGAAAATAACTGTTTTCAGTAGTGTTTGGAAGCTGCTCTTTGAAGTATTTGTAGACTGTCTTAATTATACAGCCTCCAAAGACAAAAAGCTAATAACTTGTCTGGCGTTCTGTGGTCAAGTAAACAGTAAGAGTGCTTTCAAGAAAAGCCTGAGTCTTAGGATCCACAAAAGGCTCAGGTTTGACCACGTGCACCTAAAGATTTGTGGGTCTAATGGTGAGGTTTGCATCTTTTGACTTGAGCCTTAGACTGGCTCAAGGTCAGTGGTGGTTTGATCAAGCTTCAAACAGGTACATGGAATAACATGTGTTCTCTTAAAAAATATAACAGGTCAGCCAATCAATCCCCAGTGTCGTATCTATCCAGAAGAAATGATTCAGACTGGCATTTCTGCTATAGATGGTATGAACAGTATTGCCAGGGGGCAGAAAATCCCCATATTCTCAGCTGCTGGCTTGCCCCACAATGAAGTGAGTACTCAAAGCTACTCTCTAAACTGTTAGTGGCTCGCGTTTCACTGGGGTTAAGATGTAAACTAAGTTAAATTCTGGTCTGTGTAATAGTATCAAACACACAGATTGCACTGAAACTTTTTTCCCCTAGATTGCAGCTCAGATATGTCGCCAAGCTGGCTTGGTGAAGAAATCCAAAGATGTGATGGACTACAGTGAAGAAAACTTTGCCATTGTGTTTGCTGCTATGGGTGTAAGTCAATATTATTGGAGGAGAATGATGCTGGAGTAATAAATAAGCCACTGCTGAGAGTAGCTGAATGTTACTCGTTTGAAAGTGTGCTAAGGAGGTCTTATGTATGTAACTAAACAGTGCTGGATGGCTGAAAGTCCCAAACAGACACAAGTACTGTAATGAAGTGTGTCTGATCAGGATAAAGTGTCTTAAACTTAGAATCTGTAGCCTGGAATTCTAGAAATAATTCATTCTGGGAATGTAGGAGAGTGTTTGATACAGAGGGTTTTGCTTATGGATTATTATTGAGGTATTTAGACCTTAATCTGATGCAAAATGTAGTACACTAAAATCTGACCTGGAACTGATGCCTTAATACTGTGATTCAGGTGAACATGGAAACTGCTCGGTTCTTCAAATCAGACTTTGAGGAAAATGGGTCCATGGACAATGTGTGTCTGTTCCTGAATTTGGCCAATGATCCAACGTAAGTAGTTCCAGTATGATGGTTGGGAAAAGGCTGAGAAGAACGAGTAAACTGAAAGCTGAAGCCTCACTGGTGTCCTGCCAGTTGTCACTTAGGTTGACATTTTGCAGCAAAGTTGATGTGGAATGCTGGTACTTCGGCTGGGGCACGTAGCAGATTTTCTGAGCGTTTTGAAGTGTTTGTAACTCCAAACTGTTACCTTGCAGCCTTAAAGCACTTGTCACCAATAATGCTGTCCTGCTCTGTTTCAGCATTGAGCGCATTATCACCCCTCGTCTCGCTCTAACCACAGCAGAGTTCTTGGCATATCAGTGTGAGAAGCACGTGTTGGTCATTCTGACAGATATGAGCTCCTATGCTGAAGCTCTGCGAGAGGTAACGCATTTATTAACTCATGCTGGGTGTTGGCAGAAAGTATTCCTGATACAGAGTGAGAATGTAAACTTCTGCATAAGCTGTTGGGATCAGTATTCATTACAGTGTTCTTAAATAGCCAGTGAGGCTTTTAGTTATTCATTGGTTGTCTAGGGTTATGTTCAGCAAACAGCTTGTGCTTCTGAGAGCGCTTAACTTATTGGACTAGTGGCATTCAGCAGTTTGGTGTTAGAGTTTCTGATTTGCCTTGGCATCTTGTCTCATCATTCATGGTTGTGGTGACACACGTGTCTTAGTAGGGGTTTGTGTAGCTGTAGTTTGGTATCACCTGCAGGAAGAGGTGCTTTAAGTGACTAGTGTGGCTTAATTAGAGAAGACAGCAGGTCTGTGTGGCTGATGTGACTTCTTGCAAACGTTTTTCTGAATTGCCTCAGGTTTCAGCAGCTAGAGAGGAAGTGCCTGGCCGTCGTGGTTTCCCAGGTTACATGTACACTGACTTGGCTACTATATATGAGCGTGCTGGACGTGTGGAAGGCAGAAATGGTTCCATTACTCAGATTCCTATTCTTACCATGCCCAATGATGGTGAGTGGTTTTAATAACTAGCACTTTAAAGGACTCCTTTAGAGCAAGCTGCCTTAGTTTGGGTACACAGCAAGATAGAAGGTCCTGTGGCCTTTAGGTTTCCATGTGGACATTGCAATTCTTGGCTGCCTTCTCTGTCTGTATTGCTGATAGAAATGCTTTGCTCATTTCAGACTTCAGGACTGTGCTCCAGCCCTCTGTCACGAGTGCTTACAGCTCTAATTCTTGCATAAGAGCACTTAGTGATGTATGGGGATACCAACTGATGGTATTTTACTTTAGAAGTCATTTAACTGCAGAAAGCTGCCACATCAGTGCTGGAATGGATATAAAAGATCTGAAAACTATCAAACCATTCTTTTCCGCAGACATTACTCATCCTATCCCTGACTTGACTGGATACATCACTGAGGGACAAATCTACGTGGATAGGCAGCTGCATAACAGACAGGTGTGTGTCAGACCGGTTAGAACATATTTAAGGTTACTCTGTACTTTTTGAAGTATTAATGTTGAAATTCTTGGATGTCTTTTCCCTCCAGATTTACCCACCTATTAATGTCTTGCCCTCCTTGTCTCGACTGATGAAGTCAGCTATTGGAGAGGGTATGACCAGGAAGGATCATGCAGATGTGTCCAACCAGCTGGTATGTAAATACCTCTTTGGAGAAGCAGAGTCATATTTCAAACAGACCTCTCACTAAACAGCTTGTAAAGGGCGTGCTGAACAGTGGCAATCCAGAACACACCTGAGGCCGCTTTCAAGCGTGGACTGAGTGTTTAGTGAGACCCTGGGTTTGGGTTTGCACAGAAATCGTTACATGGGTGATGGAGGTAAAAGCAGTTCTGTTTCTGTCCCTCCTAGTATGCCTGCTATGCTATCGGAAAGGATGTGCAGGCTATGAAGGCTGTCGTTGGGGAGGAAGCTCTTACCTCAGATGATCTTCTTTATCTGGAGTTTCTGCAGAAGTTTGAGAAGAACTTCATTGCTCAGGGTAAGCATCTGTTTCAAGAACATCCCAGTAGGCATTAACACCTAGAAGGCCTTGTTCTCAGATCTCCCTGGTGGTGAGAAACTTTCCTGCCCTGTGTTTCAGTCAGCGTTTGCTTTCTGCAGGTCCTTACGAAAATCGCACTGTTTACGAGACCTTGGACATCGGATGGCAGCTTTTGCGGATCTTCCCCAAGGAGATGTTAAAGAGAATTCCTCAGACAACACTGGCTGAATTCTATCCTCGAGATTCGACTGCAAAACACTAGCCACAGCTTCATCTCTATCTCCTTGCTCTGTGAAATGCTGTTTGTTTTCTTCTTTTCATGTGTTGGTGTTTACTTGTCGCCCTTGCAATTAAAACCAAGAATAGGTGACTTTTTGTGCCAGTGTTCCGATGCACACTGATAGTTTTTAAAATATCCCTTCTTCCAAAGCCTGGATCTTCAGGAAAATATTTAGGCCAGCTCTTACAAATGTGCAATAGCTATCATGAAGCTTGTTTTTTTTTGAACTGGACCTTTTGTAGACATTTCAGGGGAATGTCTGAGGATTATGAGAAATTGCAAATCTTTACTTTCAACCCAGGAGCACATGGTTTAGGAAATGTGAAAGAGAAATGTGACTTCCTTTGTCCAAAGCATCTGCTCAGTCTGATCGTATGTGGTTGCTGTGCTGCTGGTAGAACAGATGGCACTCTGCTGTCCTGCTGTTGTGCCTGCAGACCAGGCTGATACGTGGAGAGCGTGGTGCATGACAACATACCTTCCTGAAAAATGCAAGTCACTGATTTTTTTAACTATGGCTTAAGGTTCTTGAAGGTATTCATGAACTGAGGACACTAGTAGGCATGGTAGATGCTTTTCCACAAGCAAAGGGTCTTTCCAGAGGTCACAGGCTAGTGGGTTGCTACCTGAAGGTAGCACGATAAGGCTTGATTACTGAGTTAAAGGTTTCAAATTGAAGTTTGTAGAGTAAGTTTCCTACTTACCCTTTTTTCTTTCAATTCCGGCAATGCCAGAGACGCAGAACAGCAGCTAAAGCATTCTGAGATCAGCAGTGTCCCAATGGGTGAGACTAGGTGATCCAGGGCTTTGTGCTGCTACTGAAGGGGACTATATGAGCTGTGGAAGAAGTCTTGTACCTGACACCGTTGTACTGGTGGGAGGTCAGCTTTTGAAGTGTCTTGTACCAAGCGACGCAACAGGAGAAAGCACCCGAGATGTGCGAACGGGCGTTTTGAATTCGGTGTTAGAGCATGCTCTGAGTGGTGCTGGGTCCCGAGTCGTCTTTGAAACTGTTGTGGTTTGCACTCCAGGCACAGATTTGGCTAGCCAGGAGAGCTCAGCATTCCCAAACACTGCAGACTTGGCTAGTCAATTCGGTGTTGTCTTTTTCAAATTGGTTCAGATGAGGCTCTGAGCCCAGTGCTGGCAGGCTTTCGTGCTTTTTTTCTGGGCTTAATGTAGTCTAAGCTCTGGTCTAGCTAACCAAAGCATGTTGCACCTCTCTGAACGCCTGCAGTGCTTGTCTAGGGAGGTGCTAACATGACTCAAACGATCGTGTGCTAACTCCAGCTTTCCCTGGCGTCTCCTGTGTGCAGTTCTTCTCTAGTTTGTTCAGTGTTCTCTGTAACTTGGATGCAATAGCAACTTTATTCCAGTGCATTCCACTCTGAAGCTGTGTCGAGTCTATTTTTCTTGAGGTGGGGATGGGAGGTTGGAAGTGTTGGCATGAGAATACTTTAATGTAGAGAATATCTAAATAAATTAAATATGGAAGATGTTGAACAAAATGGAAGCTTTTTGTGATTCTGTGGTTGAAAACAGCTTCAGGTCTTTCATCAGTGGCGAAGATGTCCTCTGCCATGGGGGATCCTGTTTACATGAATGAAACTACCTAACGTGCTGACAACATTTCTCACTTCCATTTCTGTGTGTGCGGTGAGATCCACTCGAGCCACCCCCACGTTATTCCTGGAGCTGGTGGCTTTCCATGATCAGGATTTGGCCTTCAGCGTCAGGACTGAGTGCTGTGGGCGGGTGGTGCAGACGTGGGTGAAGGCTTTGCAGGGATATCGGAGGGTGATGTGATGCTGCTGTTTCTCACACGTCTCGAGGGTAGTTGGCACTAGAGGAGGCTCAGAAACCTTAAAAGGCTTCTTGAAAATGAGCTTAGGCGTATGTTGACTTAAAATTTTCTGTATGAAAAATTTTCTGTATGTATTTTCTGTACTACTGAGGAAGAGAGGGGCCTGGGTAGGTTTGTTCAGGTATTCTGTGCAGGCAGCCTGGGGCATGACTCTGCTTAAATCCCTGATGTAATTCCTGATGTCAGTCTCTCTCCATGCATTAACTGTTGTAAGAGTTTCCCTGCTGTGGGGCTGCAGCACGACGGGTGAAGGTGAGAGGCTGGAACAGAGTGAAACGGGGAGATCTGGGATTCTTCCTGATGTGCTCGAGAGCGGAGGTAAACCCAAACACACCTTCCTGTGCTGCACAACACGTGCACGTCCGAACCAGTTGCTCGGTGGGGGAAGAGGGCACCGTTCCTTCTGCTGATTCTGCTGTTCGTCTTGGAAGAGCCGTGCCCTGATGTGCTGAGCTGCACAGTCTCTGGGAAGTTTGTTCTGACTGTTAAAAGCCTGAGGCTGTCTCAGGTTTTCTCCTATTAAATGTTGTACTAAGCTATAATTCGAGCTGTTTCTTGTACAGAAGTACAAGTCCTTGAGGTAGATAAAGACATTAGCTCACTTTTAAAAAAACTCATTTAAATGTCCAAGCTGGTTCCTGCAGTGTCTTTTTCACCAGGAGCGATGTTAAGTTACAAATCCCATGTCCTCAGTATTAATAATGGCTTTGATCATCTTCAGAGCTTGAAAGACTATTCATTTAACATGGAGGAAGGAGGATCTAGCATGCTAAACCCATGACTGATGGCTTAAAGGGGTTTGTCCCAACTTTTTTTGACTTTCTCTACCCGTTTACCCCCTTGGTTACAGTCACTCTGGATACGAGGATAACTTCACCAACAGATGGCAGCTGCCAGTGCTCAGTGATGCAGCTTTTGAAAACGTGAGTAAGAGGAGAAATTCCAAAGCCCGGTGAATTCCTGAAATCCTTCAGCAGGTGACAGGTTTTGGGGACAAAGTTTGAACAAGCATTCCCGAGGGTGGGTGAGCGCTGCGGAGCGAGACAGCCGCAAGTGTCTGCATATGGATAACGTGGCTCCCGAAACGTGCTGATGTTAGAGCAAAGCAAAAGGACTTGTGCAATTATAAGAATATTCATGGCAGTTAAGCCTTACTAATTTGCAGCTGATGGGAGCAAAGTGGTAAAAACGGGATGTATTCTGTGGCTCAGGGCAGGCTGGTGAAGCAGCTCTTGACGCACAGGCAAGCGTCAGGGATAGCGCGGTTCATCCGGGCCAGACAAAGGTTTGGGATGAATATAAATAGTGAGGGTGGCTTTGTGCCAGGGATAAAATAGCTGCTGTCTGCAGCACGCAGGAGCTGCGTGCTCGGCTGGCATCGCGGGGAGAGGCCGGCTGGGCTCCAGCGAGCGCGGTGCCACCGTGTGCCCAGTGGGGAGCCAGCGGAGAGGAGATGGAGTGAGCTGCTGTGTGTCAGCTCCCAAATCAGTCCAGAAGGACAAGGCTGCTTCAGATCATGTATCGCCTGGAAATAAGATGATTTTTCTTATAAATGCTTAGACAGCAGTGCGAGAACTGCTTTAGGAATTACCAGACCGGCTGGCAGCAGCAGGGCACGCAGTGATGCTCCTTAGCTTGCATGGGTGGCGCTGAGTAAATGCACTGAGGTTTTGAACGGTGCTTGTGGGGGACCAGGGACAGGGCTGGTTCTGGTTCACGTGGCTTTGTAAGGTTAAGGGAGAAGGTTGTGCTTGTGGGCATAAAACCAACCTGCTGAGGCTCTTCAGCTCTCCTCTAGGGGAGTTAATTCAGGCTTGCTTGCTGCTCCAACCTCTGGTTTAACAAGACATGTCTGACTGGTGGAGGTTTGGTGGCAGCATCGAGCTCTGACCTGCCCCTTCTGCTCCCTGGACCCGCACACACAAGCAGCCAGGCTGCAATGGCTGCGCTGCCCACGCCACGCCATCGCCGGGCACGCCTGAGCCGGCTCTCCTCCGGCTCTGGAAACTCGATGCAGGGCAGAAATCTCTGTCTTCCTCTTGGTCCACGTTCCCTGACTGCTGGAGGAAACGCATCTGCCAACACGGGCAGAGCATCGCTGTCACCCTGCGCACAGGCGGGTCCCTGGGTTACGACAGAGTGGGTCCTGCAGACTAGAAGCTGCCAGGTAACACACAGCCTGAGCCTGGCACAGGGCCCCGTAAGGGAGGAATGACAGAAATAACTTCATCTCCCGGTGGCCCAGGCAGCAGGCTGGGGCTTGCAGCACAGCTGTTGTAGCACTGAGCTGAGAACATAGCCCTTTGCTGGGAAAACGGGGTGGGAAAGTAAAAGGACATTCAAGGCTGGGTGGAACGGGTACCTGTCTGCGTGGCATCGGGCTGGGCTGTGCTGTGAGCCATCATCGGGCAGCTCCTGACATGGCACTTAGCCGGATGCTAAACAAACAGCCCAATATTTCACGGCGTGGAGACAGCAGGTACCATGCTAAATGGGACGTGCTGATCTCCCAGCTGCTGCCTTAGTACGTTTACATGCTGTTTTCTTTTTTCTTTTTCCTTTTTTTTTCCCCGGTAATGACTAATGAGGACTGCCTGGGGGTCCGATCCCCCTTCACCAACTGATGTCAGGCAGTCAGGTCCCTCCAAGCGAGCAGCACACGCCAGCTGTCAGCTCATTTCGGAGGGGAGGGGAGCAAACATTGGACACGG